TGTAAAAAAATCATCTAAATCGAAGTTAAATTAACCGTTAAATCGTGATTTTTCGTTTATAACCGTCGAAAAGTTTTGTCCCGTTACTTAATCTCTAAATATTTGTTTTTTGCCATTTTTGGCGTATGCGACCTGGAAGCATATATAAATAAGTTTGATGGTTGGATCGTTGAATTAGTTTCTTAGAATGCATACCTCATCAAAACGATAGATTCACTAACACTTAGAATTTATTTATACTTTCATTAAATATAATATAAGATTTTGTGATATCCACTAGTGTAAATATTTTAAATTAAAGATTGAATTCATTCATTGTATTCATATAGGGTCAAGGAGTGTAGCTGTAAAAAATCATCAAAATCGGAGTTAAAATCACCATTAAATCGTGATTTTTCCTTGATAACCGTCGAAAAGTTTTGTCCCATTACTTAATCTCTGAATGTTTGTTTTTTGCGATTTTTGGAGTATGCGATCTCGAAGTATATATAAACAAGTTTGATGGTTCGATCATTGAAATTAGTTTTGAATGATGCGTATTCCATCAAAACGATAGATTCACTAACACTAGAGTTTATTTACACTTTCATTAAGTATAACATAAGATTTTGTGGTATCCACTTCTATAAATATTTTAAATTGACGATCAAATTAGTTCATTGTATTCATATAGGATCAAGGAGTGTAACTGTAAAAAATCATCAAAATCGGAGTTAAAATAGCCGTTAAATCGTGATTTTTCGTTTATAACCGTAAAAAAGTTTTGTCTCATTATTTGATCTCTGAATGTTTGTTTTTTGATATTTTTGGCGTATACGATCTCGAAGCATATATAAACAAGTTTGATGGTTGGATCGTTGAAATTAGTTTCATAGAATGCGTATCCCATGAAAATGAGAGATTCACTAACACTTAGAGTTTATTTATACTTTCATTAAGTATAACATAAGAATTTGTGGTATCCACTAGTGCAAATATTTTAAATTGAAGATCAAGCTCATTCATTGTATTCATATAGGATCAAGGAGTGTAGCTGTAAAAAATCATCAAAATCGGAGTTAAAATAACCGTTAAATCATGATTTTTCGTTTATAACCGAAAAAAGTTTTGTCTCCTTACATGATCTTTGAATGTTTGTTTTTTGCAATTTTTGGCGTATGCGATCTCGAAGCATATATAAAGAAGTTTGACGGTTGGATCGTTGAAATTAGTTTCGTAGAATGTGTATCCCATGAAAATGATAGATTCACTAACACTTAGAGTTTATTTATATTTTCATTAAGTATAACATAAGAATTTGTGGTATCCAATAGTGAAATATATTTTAAATTGAAGATCGAGCTCATTCATTGTATTCATATAGGGTTAAGGAGTGTAGCTGTAAAAAATCATCAAAATCGGAGTTAAAATAACCATTAAATCGTGATTTTTCGTTTTATAATTGTTGAAAAGTTTTGTCTCGTTAATTGATCTCTGAATGTTTGTTTTTTGCGATTTTTTGCTGATGCGATCTCGAAGCATATACAAACAAGTTTGACTGTTGGATCGTTGAAATTAGTTTCGTAGAATTCGTATCCCATCAAGTTCAATGGTGTGTGTATATATATATATATTAAGTAGATTTAAATTTATTTATTTTGTACGTATAACACTTAAGAAATTGAATGATATGTATATTTAAGCCGATCCAATTGTCACCAATTTTTTAAATTTAATTTAATATATATAATTATTATAGTTTTTAGGGGTATAAAATTGTTAAATTAATATATATAATTATTATAGTATTTTTTAGGGTTATAAAATTATAAAATTAATATATATAAAATTATAGTATTTGAAATATTAGGCGCGAAATTGCTCGCTTGTTTTGCACGAGGACATGGATGGAGAAAGTTAGTGTCGGTTTTAACCGACACTAGTTTCATTAAAGCTACGCGAGTTTCATTAAAGCGACGCTATGTGAATTTCAAAAAGTGTGTCAGAAGTTTGCGTTGGTTTTAAGCGACGCTAGTTTCATTAAGGCAACGCTATGTGAATTTCAAAAAGTGTGTCAGAAGTTGGCGTCGGTTTAAACCGACGCAAACTAAGTACCCATATTTAAACCCCTATCTTTCCCATTTCATCTGTGCATTCATTTCTCCCCCAATTTCAGACTTTCTTCTTCTGCTTCCCCATTTCATTTGTGTGTCCCTTTCTTCATCCTTTTCAGGTTTTCCTCTTCTCCTTCCCCATTTTCTATGGATCACTATTTTGAAGATCAACATTCTGAGGAACTCCACTTCGAAGAGGAAGAGCTCGAAGGTGGTTCATTTTTAAATTATTATGATTATTAATTTTAGTTTCTGTTTTGTATTCTAACTAGTTTTATGCTTAAATTGAAAATTTATTTTTGTTTCTTGGTTTTTAATTATTTTTTCTGTATTTATAAGCAGTGTTTTAAAATGCGGTCAAGGCGGCGCCTAGGCGCTGGGTGTCGGACCGCCGCCGCGATTTTTCTAAAAACGTTCAATAAATCGGCAAGGGGGAGCAAGAACACGTCGGTGTTTCACTACACAGCTTAGAAGAGGAGGGCAACAACATAAAATCTGAAGGAGAGAGAGATAGAGAGAGAGAGAGAGAGAGAGCAAGAGAGCATGAGGGAAGAGAAAGCGAGAGAGAGACCGGTAGAAGGAATAACAGTGCAATTTCTGGAAAGAAAAAAAAAAATTTGACTTGGACTCGTTGGATTTCTTCGCTGGAGCTGATAACGTTTTCGAGGATCTTTGCTGCGCTAGACTAGGTTTTGGGAAATTTTGGAAATTTTGCAGGGCAAGAAGATGGGGAATTAGGCGGAGAAGACGATGGAGAAATAGGCGGAGTATTCGAAGAAGTGAAGGAAGACTGGAAAAGGAAACGGGACAGCTCAAAGCAAAAGCCTCCCGATTTCCAAGGTGTCAAAACCAACCCTTATTGATTTCCACTACCAACTCCCCTTATCTTATCTGATTGATTTTTTGAAGTTATAAATTATAATAAAAACAATTACTCATTTCACTATTAAATAATATATTATGTAATTACTACTTGGGTTTATAAGTTAAATTATAATAAAAACAATTACCCACTCCACTATTAAATAATATATTGTGTAATTATTTGGAAGATTTATATATAGAGATCAAAACTTTAACTGTATTTCAAGAACCTTCACTAGTTTTTAAACATGTCAACAAGAAACTTATTTAACACTTAAATAAACACACATTATATGTTTGCTCCCCATATTTTTATTATGTTCCAATACTTCATAATATATATGTCATTCTATTTTCTAGTTTATGATGAAATTATATATATTTTAAGTATAAACAGACACTTATTTACATGAAATACAATATATTTACTTAAATCTGTCTAGTCCGCCTAGGCGCTAGGCCCCAACCCACCGCCCGACTAGCGCCTAGCGTTTTTTAGAACCTTGTTTATAAGGATCAACTCAACAGAGATGCGGACCCTCAATTCCGAATTGGAAAGAACAACCTTGTTCGTTTGATTCGTCTAGAAAATGCATTAGTTATAATTCTAGTGCGTTTTCGAAACATGTAGCGGCAGAGGTTAAAGATTATAGAAATATTTCGATGGTGGCATACTGGAATAAAGAAAAAACAATGGTAAACATTTCATGATTTATTTTATTATACCTTGAAATTTTTCTAATAAATTCTTTTATTTTTCAGGAGATTGCCGAAAAAAATAAGCATAATCGGCAGTTGAAAACTATGAACCACACAACCGGTTCAAAATCTTTTGCAAGAGTTCGAGAAGAATTTGTATGAGTTGTCCATTTTTAGGAATTGTAGTTAATTTTAAATTTAATATATAGTAGGTAGAAATTTTATTTTTAATATGAAGTTGCTTAAAATTGTTTGTTTTTTCATTGACATATGGTGGGATTTATTTTTATATAATAATTTTTAATTATTATTAATTAAAAACGAAAAATGATTTTTTATTATTATTAATATATTTGGTGTCGCTTATGAACGACATCATAATAATTATTTTATGTATCCATATGTTATGTAATGTCGGTCAAAACCGATGGTAGTTTGGATATTTTATAATTAAATTGGAAATTAGCGTCGCTTTAAACCGACGTAATGTTGAAGTTTGCGTCGCTTTAAACCGACGTCAGTGTCAGTGTCGCTTTTAACCGACGCTGCGTACTAGCGGATTAAGCGTACAAACCGACACTGAAGCTCTTTCGTGACACTAGCATTAGTGTCGCTATTCCAATCCGATATTACATTGTTTTATGTCGGATTTTTGCTAAATTTCAGACAGAAATTGGGTTTCTTGTCGGTTTTTGCTTCGCCACTGATAAGGTATATTGTAGTAGTGTCATCTATCGGTTTCACTTTCACAAGGTCCAAGGTCTTCCCAAATATTATCTTCTCAAGCTTGTTCGCAAGCTCATAGGCCTTATCAACCTTCGAAGAGTAAGTGTCCAAAAAGAAAGGGAAATAAACAAGGTTGAACGGTGCAAAGTAGTGACTTGAAAATTGAAACACCAAAACCATTTTGTTGAATTGCATAACAATAGTCATAAGGTGTTTTGATGTCCATTAGACATTTAGATGTTGACGTTTGTTTGAACTTCAGTTTTAGTATGGTAACCATAACTTTTTCAATTGGATTGTACTAAAGTAATGTCATAAGGCATTTTGATGTTGAAGTTTGTTTGAACTTTAGTTTGTTTGATCTTAAAACCATGATTCTTTACTGTAATATATAAAAAACAAAAAACTGTCCGCTGAAATAGATAAGAAATTAGATATACAAAACCATCAGTTTCTATATCCCATTGATTTGATTTGGCTTTGAGGTTATGTTGCCATTATGCTATCGTTGCCGAAGTGTCCGTTGTTGATAGACGTTGAACTCAGCAAAAAACTGTTGCTGGAACTGGAGCATCTCACAAAACGCTACAGAAGTATATCCCTTGAGAAGGGGGAAAGTCAGTCATTCAGATGAGTTGTAGCAATCTTCAAATGTCGAACCTCCCAAGTTAAGGCTTCATTTAGAGCTGTCATATTCAATAAGCATTGTGTAAGTGCAAGAACTACTCAAATATAAGCACTTATTCAATGGTAGAGTAACAACTAACATGGGAAGTTCTCAACTTTAATCCTACAACCAACCTTAAGATTTAAAATAAATCTAACAATTTAAGTGTGCATAAGTTCCATTCTACAAGTAATTCTCATTTCTTGAAGCACTTGAATTTTTAATAGTGCATGATTATGTCATATTTCTTAAAATTAAAAAAAAGGTAGTTTATGAGCGTAAGTATTTTTTTACATGAGCACTACAAGAAGCACATGTGGTATCTCATGTCTCAACCTAAAATATATATGCTCTTACTCATATTCTTTAGTTTTCAGATGCCTCATCTTCAAATAAATAATCAAACTCTTTGTTGCTAAAAGTCTTAGCACTCAAAAATTACTGCTTATATATTATTCTTTCACCTTATTTTCTCTGTGTATGCTTTTTATTTTTAGACGGACTTATCCACCTACTCTGAATTTGATACATGAACATGTGCTCAAACATATATACATTCCTTCTCAAAAATCACATCCTGCAATTCTTTATCAGCACCAACTTATAGAAAAGTTAAATTTAACCATCAATATCTTTTTTAAATATGTAATTGAATATTAATAAAACAAAAGGTTGAAGGAAAAAAAACCCTGCTGTAAATGTGCTGAGATATATATATATATATTCATGCATGTTTCTTACCGAAGAACTGAATACCTTACTGTTTTGCACCATAAGCCTAATGCACTCGTGATACATACCATCTAGGAGTTGTTCCTGTTGTTCCATAGCTTGAAGGCGAAACTTCAACTCATTAGTTTCATTTCTGATACTATCAAAATCTCCCTGCACGTAACGCAAAGAAGATAAAATTAACATGTATCTCCAAAGAATTGCATTTAATGCCAAAAGGAAACATAACCACCTCTAAGGTTTTAAAAGACGCTAGACACTAGTGGGGAGGCTGGTTGGGGCCTAGCGCCTAAGTGACTAGGCGGGGCTCTAGGTGGACTAGGCCGCCTAAACGGATTTAAGTAATTTATTATATATTATATAAATAAGTGCATATTTATACTTAAAAAACACAGAGTTGTATACATAAATTGCAAAATAAAATGACATATATATTATAAAGTATTAGAATATATTGAAAACATGGGGAACAAATATATAATGAGTGTCTACCCAAAACATAAAGTTATCGATTTTTGTTTAAGTGAGGGTCGCAACCTAGGCGGATTTAGACTGGTTAGGTGGGTGCCTAGGGGCCTAGGCGGACGCCTAAGTGGGTTTAGGCACACTTTTCTTAATTTTCAAACGCCTAGGGACTAATCTAGCGCCTAAGTGGCGCTAGACGGGAATTTTTAAAATATTGACCACCTTAAATTCCCACCTTTAACAATGTAAGTTGTGCATTCAGTATGGCTACTTCTGTCTCTAGTGTCTGAACCTTCTGCTTCAGCTCTGAAATGTAGCGCATCTTCCGCTCTTTGGAGCGAACAGCTGATTGACTATTTGCCAAAATTCTGAAGTTAAAGAGCAATCGAGATTAGTTACATTAGTGTACTGAGGTAAATTATTATGTTGACCGTGGTGAAGTACTAGAGGGTGAAGACAATACCTCTTTGCACGCTTTGGATCAGTCAAAGCAACCCCAGAAAGTTTTTCGTTCGCCATTATATTCTTCATTTCAGCCTCACTGAACTCAACATATCTAAACTCCGAGCTAAAGGCATTTAAATTAGCATCGATGGAATTGCTGGGAGCACCGGTGGAATTGCTGGGTGAAACTTGTCCTGGAGGAGTTCCTAATGAAGGTGGCAGTCTATGTAACTCATCACCAAACTGCAACTTACCCTTAAAACAATCCATCGAGACACTTCTGCGGTGTCGACTGGTTGGTGCTATATCACCCCATGCACTCCGCCTTATCACTTCCCTCTTATCGTTAAAAATATTCAATCCCAGTTTTCGAATACTGCCTCCACTTTCATTAACATTGCTTTCTGCTTCAGTCACACTATTGTCACCTGTCTTAATCCCACTTGCTCTACCCAGTTCTTCACAATTCTCATGCTCATTCTTGTCATCAGTGCCCAAGGAATTCAACACATCAATATTATCCGAATTCATATATATCAAAAACAAATCATCCACTAGCTCTCCTACAACATTATTGTCACTGACTCTCTGCAAGCTAGATTTCTTTTGAACCAACTGAGCTGGCTTAACCAACCCTAAATTTTCTGCACCAGACATTGACAGCTCCAAACCACCCAAACCTCTGATCGGAGCAATGGGCGGGAAAGATTGTTGCATCAAGCTAGAAAAACCAAATGGGATATCACTATTCGACCGTCTATGAGCATTACAAGGCGACAAACACTCACCGGTCCTCAAATAGTTTTCTTTGGTTAAATGTGAGGGAGACAACAAGGAACACGCACCTACATCACCATTCTGCATGGATGCCGACGAGGAAGAATTACGATATTGGGATGGGGTTAATGGGTGCAATGAATCAAGAGAAAAGACGGTTGGTTGGGACACCATGATCTCAGAACAGGGCGAAATGGGTAGGATATGATGCGAGTGGGAGGAGGATGAGGACGAGGGTGGTATCCCCATTCTTTTGCTACCATTAATATCCTCAGTAAAGCTTTGTGAAAATTGACATGAATGAGTTTGTGAAGGGTTGAACTGAGGAATGTTCAGTTGGTCCATAGACAAAGGCTGGTTACTCCTGCTGCTAATAGCATTCCAACTCGTGAGTTTAATAACAATGGCGAGCGAACAAAAACAGAAAATTAAGTGACAAATTTTGATTTGATTCCTTTTGTAAATTTGGCCAATTTGAATTAGAATGTAATCTTAACTATTTAGGTAAGAAATAACTTTCTCTTTCCAAATTTCTGCATCCTTTTCTAACCATATGCATGCATGCATTGGTGGTGAATTTATCAAATTCTTATCGAAATCCAATTAATTTTGCAGGATTGAAATATATTAGAAAGTGATCCTAACTATTAGGGTAAGAAGTAAATTTCACTTTCTAAGTTTTACCACATTAATTGAACTACTTATAAATCAAATTGATATTTTACCAGTTATGTGAATCACACTAATTAAGTTATTAGTGAGATAAGTACTTAATTTTCTCGAGAAAGTTTTTAATATGACCGTAATGCATTTATATGGTGTTATTTTTATTTTTCAGTTGAAACGATAGCTTTATTGATAATATAACTCAACGCGAGTTTACATCTTGGTTAAGTGCATGAAATCCGCAGTTCCTCAACCTAAACAAATGACTCACAATTATATAAACTAGACTTAGCAAGGCTATGTGCCACACTATGACGTGGGATATACGAAATTGTGCCTATAAAACTCAGCCATCAACACCTGTATATCATTGGCAATAAAGCCAAGATTAGACAGGTCCATGCTACTAGCTCCCATAGCAAGCAGCCAAAGCTTCCAAAGAATCAGTCTCCATCGCCACTTGGTTGCATCGGAGAGTCTTCACAAGTTGAAAGCCGGCCCGAATAGCAAGCAGCTCGACTTGCTTGACCGAGGACAGGCCCTGAAAACGCCACACTCACGCTGCCCTGAAAACTCCATCTCTCCCTCAAAGGACTCCTCCAGCGCCTCCAAACCCCTCCGCCATTTTTGTAGCTCCGTCAATATTGTTCAATTTGAACCACCCATCACTAGGCGCTACCCACCGGTTCCGCTTGGGCTCCTTAACATGGCTGGGAAGTTGATTACCCGCCTGAAAATCAAGCAGCCAGGAAAAGGTCTTCTAAACCACCTCTAAGGTGACTATTAGCCCGCCCCTCCCAAACCAAACCATTCCTTTCCTTCCACAGAGCCCAAATCACCATCATTACCGCCCCCAAAATCCACCTTCTTCTCCTCCAAAATTTTGAAAAGCCACTCCTTCAAAGACTCATCAAAACTCGATACTGTTCCCAAAAGCCCAAAGGCGCCGCGAACCACACTGCTCAGGAGAAACTGCAATCCCGCAGCACGTGTTGCGCTGTTTCACAAAGACCATCACATCTCGGGCATGAAACATCGAGCCTCACTCCCTTTTTTATGAGATTTGATCTCGTCGCCAAAGCGTCTGTGCACACCCTCAGCCACACACCTTCACTTTTGGCGGCACCTGTGCCTTCCAAATTACTGGCCATAGACCACCGTATGCACTCCCACCATGAGAAGAAGAGGACGCCATTAATGACGGGGAAATGCATCCTGATCTTGCCACCTTATATGCACTTTTGACGGAGAAGAGACCCTTTTTATCATTATGCCACATCAGTCAATCCGAAGGCCTTGGTAGACTAAGCAGAATCGAACATATCAAACGAATCTCCTCCTCCGAAAACGGCTGTTGTAGCAGTATTCAACTCTCCAGCACATAGCATCCGGAGTACAAGTGAATATTATTACTGAACTTTCCTTTGATTGTTGTACTTTCCAAATTGTTAAATGTTGTTGAATGAGAGTATGAGTAAATATTGCTGGATTGAAGGTATAGATACATTTGAATTCTCAAGGGAGGTACTTTAATTAGTCAAAAACCAAGGGAACCACTCAAGGTTCTGTTGTCGTGAGTGCGAGGGTAAATTGGAATATTTTCAAACTTTCCTTGGTTCGAATTTAGCATGCGCTCCCAAAGTAATCTTGTACTAAAGTGTGTGTCTGTAATCACCATAGGGTGTTCTAATCTAATCATCTTTACTCGAGAACTTGTTGGCGATACGTCCCATAGCCTACCAAACAACAAACTGCTTCTTTGTTAAAGTATATCGAACAAGTGCTACTGGAAAGAAAAAAAACGCTAGTGTGTAAAAACACTTGAGAGAGGAACACTTCCAAATGAGCACTCTTAATCATGTATAATGCCTAGTATTGTGCAGGCTGACGATCCATCGATTGCCTGGTGGCTGAGAGTAACTTAGCTTTAGATGGATCACCACGATTACAATTGGGTCCAATAACACAAGGCCACACAAATCACCGTGGTGTACTGCGTTTGGAAGTTACTGGAAGACATTAAGATTTAGGGCCAAACTGCATGTACGCGCTCGCAATCTAAATAACATTGCAAGGAAGAAATTATTTTGAATTCATTTGGTCAAATGTGTTCTAGTTTTCGCAGCAAATTTATCCAAGTTGTCAAATCCAAATCACTTCTTTTGAATTCCTTCAACCAAATGAAGCCTTCGATTTGGAAAATCACTTCTTTAGCTCAAATGGCCTGCATCAGCATGCAAATGCCATGATTTGAGAGGTTTAGAGGTTTAGAAAGACGCATGATGAAAGATTTTGAAATCACAAAGGGCAGAAAACTCCCAGCAAACCACATATCAGTGCCTCCTTTGGCCTCTGATTCGTGTAAAAAAATTGTTGGACTGAAAGCAGCCGTGCGGAACAGGGGTAATGTCCCAGTACAGTGAGCTGCAGATGTCCAGTGCACTACAAATGTCCCTTCCTAAACCCTAGGAAGGGACAATTGAAATTCTGGGACTGAATACAACAGCCTTAACACAAGGAAGATGGAAGTACTCTATTATCGAAAATCTCTCCAATTGATTTCATTGAATACAGCCGCATGCCAATGAATGTATCCGTTAAATTCAGAGACAAGAGAGGTAGAGTGAGAAGAAAGAGAGAGGTACCTAAAAAGGAAGCATCCTTCCAAACTATTGTTTCTGACCTACTTGATCGTTATGTAGCGATTTGTCCCATGTCTGGACCAATATTCTTTCAAATCCAGCGGCATTGACAAATCATGACCATCTGCTGCTAGCCGACTAAGCAATCTAGTAAACACACTTCCGCTCATCTTCCGCCCACCCATCCGGGCATGGCGCTTATTTGGCATCTGAGGTAGTGGATACATCGACATATGGGTGGTGCAACAAGATGACTGCCACCCACCATTCCCCCATTTGTAGCACTGCCGTGGAATTCCAGTGCATGAACACACTGGCACTGGCATTGTAGACTCGTCAAAAGTGACAAGATTCAAACCCAAATCATGAGTATCCCACTCTGATTTATACTTTATCCCATCCGAGGAAGCCTGCCTATTTAAATCTTCGCCTACTTTCTTCCGTGACTGCTTTGCCCTTGATGCCTTGTTCTCCTTTGCTTGCTTTGTCTGACGTGACTTGACATCTTCAGTAGATATAACTGAAACTGGGTAGGCCTCAGTTATATGCATATCTTTTGTGCTGTAATGAACATCATCCAGGGTAACTGAATGGTTTGAGGGACGGTGCATGCGTTTAGCTGCACGTGGAGCTCCACCACCCAAAGGGAAGTTGACAGCATTATCCCGCGAATGAAGGGCTGCATAGGCGTTGTCCCGTTCCATCATGGCACTATCACGCTGAGCAAGTGCCTCATCTCGCTGACGGAGAGCCTCATCTCTTGCAGCCAAGGCTTCATTCTTTTCAGCAAGTGCTGCATTCCGTTCTCGAATAGCAGCATCCCTTTCAGCAATGATGGACATGATCTTCTTGTTCATGACTAAGGCATTTGGTTCCTTCGCTTGCTGTTGGGCCATCATATTCCACTGCACATTTCAATTCTACCCCATTCAAATGGATCTATAAATGCATAATGAAACAAACATATTAACAGCAGATAGTAAGACATGCTTTCTTCTTACCGGAGATGCTGTCCCCCCTCTGTAATAGTCCATCTTGTGTCTCCCATTTTCATGTTGCCGACCATCGTCCATTTTTTATATAAAAGCAGCAAGTCCTGAAAATTTTAGCCACTAAACATTTGTTAACATCAAGTTAAAAACTTAAAAACATAACAAAGCAAAGGATCAAAGGGGTTGGGGATGATCCTAGTGGTGGTGGTGGATTTGGGAGAAGAGACAGAGGGTGGGGTGGAGAAGTAGTGGGAGCAGGACTCTGGGAGTTGAAGGGAGACAGAGGAAGAGAGAAGGCTGAGATAATTAAGAAAAAACAAAATATTATTTAACTATTTTTATTCCACATGGAAAATTTGGTGGGTCAAATTGATGCCACATCATCACTTAACAGACCAATTGACAGGAAAACTAACGCAAGTATGAAAGTGTCAGAAAAATTAAATTTTAGGTATGAAAGTGAGACGAAAAAAAGTAATTGTAATAAAGTGCAATTTTGGCAAAACTTAAGGGTAGTATAGTGGAAGTTACACTTATTTATTTTTAGAGACTGAAAGACGTTTGAAGTCTTTTCAGATTTTGTGGATTAAAATGACATCTTGAATTAAATTCAATTCCACAGAGCAACTATATGCCTTTGTAAAAAGTACCAAACTGACGAAACAATGCCATAAATCACATAAACAGCTCAATCCTCTAGCTATTAGAGAAAAGCTTGTTGTGAGTGTGAAATGTGAACGTATCACAGAAGCAGACTCTTAATAGCAATTGCAAACCCAAAACACGTTAGTCTTGTCAAGAAGAACATTTACATATAACCATCTCGCCAAGTTAGTCAAAAGTTATGCTACAAAAAAATGGCCATATTACTGAAATGTTATCATATAGCATCATCAAGTCAAATTCTACCTAAAAAAGAAATATAGCTCTAATAGCTTGTAGAGTAGTT